ACGATACTCCACTGTGTGTATAAACCACGGTTCGCTTATCCGTCAGTGGACGCCCGGCTGTTCCTACGATTTTGCTTCCATGGGTAACGCTGCCATCAGCGTGGGGGTGCAGATCCCTCTTTGGGACCCTTTCAGTTCTTTGGAGCGTCCACCGGGAAGTGCAATTGCCGTACCACGTGGTATCTTCGTTCAGTCTTTCGAGGTGCCATTTGCATCAGCCCCGCACGGAGGTTCCGATCTCTGCACAGCGCCCCTAACCTTTCCTGCTGGTTGGGTGGCAGCCACCCCGGTGGGAGTGATCGAGACCTCACTGTGGTTTCCATTTGCATTTCCCTCCTCTCCTTCTGGATCCCACAGTGCGTAAGTTGGTCCTCTTGGTGGGGTCCCGTGGGTCCATCAGGCTCTGTTCACTTTTCTCCAATCTTTTTTGTTTCTCTTCCTCAGACTCCACGGTTTCCGTTGTCCATTTTCAAGCGGACTGATTCTTCTGCCTGCTCAAATCTGCTTTTCAGTTCCTCTAATGAAGTTCTCATTTCAGTTATACTTTTCAGCTCCAGAATTGGTTTTGGCTCCTTCTTAGGTTTACTATCCTTTTTATTGATAGTTCTATTTTGTTCATATATCGTTCTCCTAACTTTCTCCTTATCTTCCTGTAGTTCTTTGAGCATCTAGAGGAACACTCTTTTATTTATTTATTTTGGCTAAATGAAGACATTTCGTCTGAAAGATAGGTACGCTCTTTTAAATCTTCACTAAATACATCTGTCATCAGGTTTTTTTGGGGACAGTGTCTCTTAAATTTTTTTTCCTTTGAGCCACACATTTCTGTTTCTTTGTATGCCTTGTGATTTTTTTGTTGAAAACTGGACATTTGAATCCCATAATGTGGAAACGCTGGAAAACACATTCTCCCCCCCTTCCCCATGGTTTGCTGGTTTTTGTTGTTTCTGTTTATTGTTTTTGCCTTTTTGGCTGTTATAGTCTGTCTCTTTCCCAAGGATCAGCCTGAGGTACCAACTTAGGGCCTTCTTGGGTCTTTTCTGCGCCTTTCGCTGAGCAGGTGCAGTCAATTTCTAACTTGCCCTGTGTATGCAGTTGTTTTGAGCGTCCTAGTCTTGCTCCCAAAAGGGGAAAAAGAGAAATACAAAGGGGAGAAAGGGGCCCCAGCCCTTTAAATCCCCCAAAATAAATTCAGCTGGAGGGGAGGGGCTTCCAACAGAGCAGAGGTGCAATACCCTGGCCACCCACCTCTTTTCCTGCACCTGGTGGCCAGAAGGTGCGGTCAGACCACAGACCCCTGATGTTTGGAGCACGGGTCCTTTTGGCCCACCGGGGTTGGCCAAGCTGTGTGCAGGCTGCTCCAGGAACAGTGCACAGCTGCCTAGCGCAGGCTGGGGTTGGGGTGTGACTGGGGCGTGGAGCATGGGCAACACTACTGTTCTAAGACCTGGCATTAACTGGAATTTACTGCCCAAGCCTTCCCCACTGAAGTTGCAAGGCTTTAGTGGACTCCAGAGTTTCAAAGTAGTTCCATCAGACACACTCTGCCAGGTGGGAGGTGGATTCCAGTTCTTCCTGCTCTGCCGTCCTCCCCAAATCGTCTACGTATTTTGTGTCTTTAAAAATTCCTCCCAAACCAAGGCTGGGCGCGGTGGCTCACGCCTGTAATCCTAGCACTCTGGGAGGCCGAGGCGGGTGGATTGTTTGAGCTCAGGTGTTTGAAACC